GAGTGGCAGGCAGAGGCAGAGGGAGAAGCAGGCTCCCTGATGAGCAAGGAGCCCGATGTGGGACTCGATCCCAGGACGCTGGGATCATGACCTGAGCCGAAGGCAGCTGCCCAACCAACTGAGCCACCCAGGCGTCCCAGTTAAGTACATTTTTAAGACTGGGTAAAATGACATGGTATCTACAACTCTGAAATGATTCGGTAGAGAGAGTGAGAGAGAGAGAGAGAGAGAGAGAGAGAGAGAGAGTGTGTGTGTGTGTGGAGAGAGAAAGAATGTAGACATGTGGAGATACAGAATGCGGACATGTGTAAGAGAGGTAAGGCAAATGAATCAAAATGGTTAACAAATAGTGACTCTAAATACAGGATATGAAGGTCCCTGTGGCGCTCTTTTTGCAACTGTTCTATGGGTTTGGAATTTTTCAAGCTAGAAAATTAAGAAAAATGGAAATGTAAAACTAAAGAATTCCATAAGGTTAAAAAAGACATTAGTATAACCTATAATTGAAGACATAAAATGCATTTTCCTCCAGTGTTATTTCAGGGTGACTGGAATCCGCCAATTTTGTATTTATAAGCTGTTTTCCTACTAAGCAGAAACGGTCTGCTCTGTACACAGCTTGTACCTTTGTGTAATACATTCACGAGCATTCAGACTTCTAGAAACTGCCCACCTACACAAAACTTCGTATTTTCCTAGAGGACTTAGACTAGTACTGATTTTAATTACAGGTGTTTAAAGCAAATATTCCAAATGAATTTTAAAGATTGTTTGAATCTACATCTGCAGGCAGGCAGTCATTTAATTTCCTTAAGTAATAAATTAGCTGACTGAAGTTGACCTGCTATTTTAAATGCAACCTGTAAATTTTGCTTAAATTGCTGAGTCAATTTAATGGACGTAAACAACTACTTTGGAAACTGAATTCTGAATAAACAGAACAAAATGATCTACTGGCAGATTTTCTTTAGAAACACACATACACATACAAACAGCACCTTTAATTGCCACACAGTTAACTTACGCACATAATGACGAAGAGAACTGCTCAAATTCCCCTATGTTCAACCTATATTATTGATTCAAGTCATGTTCTGAAAAACTAAACTCAAGTACAAGAAACTGGGCAGATTTCAAAGTCAACAAACTTCATCTGTACCATTCTCCTGAGAGCTAACAAACGAGTACCCTCTTTCCAGTCTTATTACTGAACTGTTATAGGACCTTTTAGCTAACTTCTCTACATCTCAGTATTTCCAGCTATAAAATGAAGGAAATTCTTACAATGATTTCAAAGAGATGATACACAAGACAATCTGTTTTCCCTAACTTCGTACATTAAGTTCAACAATAAAAAAGTGAACACAGGGATGTCTGGGTGGCTCAGTTAGTTAAGCATCTGCCGTCAGCTCAGGTTATGATCCCAAGGTCCTGGGATCAAGCCCCACATCAGGCTCCTGCCCAGCAGGAAGCCTGCTCCTCTCTCTCCCTCTGCCTGCTGCTGCCCTTGCTTGTGTTCTCTCTCCCTCTCTCTCTCTCTGTCAAATAAATAAATAAGTTTTTTTAAAAATACATAAAAGAATTTTTAGAAAGAGTGTATACAAAGCTTTCCAGGTATATCAATAACCCAAGCATTAGACAAAGTTAGCCAAATAGAAAATACCTTATATGTACACAAATACTTAACTTTCCTACAAATATTCTGTATCCTTTTGCATGAGGAAAATGTTTCCAATGACCATCAAAAAATTTTTATTTTTTAAATTCTACCACTCAATCGAATAAAGCATAAATATTCCTCACCTCTAAAAAATTTCTAGCATATGTCTACATGTATTATTTGCTCAATAGATATTTATTCAGTGATTGAAGGAAAAAAATGTAAAAACCCAGAGAAGTTTTCCTTTTATGCCTCCTCCTTCCAGGATCTAGAATGCCTGAAAAAGGTACAATATCTTTGTTCTCCCAGAGAAACAGAGCTCAGCTGAAGCTCCTAAGGACTACACTGCTAGGGACCACATCTCATGTTGGAGGCCAGTAAGGAACTAAGTTTGGCCTCCAGACTTTTCCATTCCAGGGGTCCTTCTACTCGCAAATCACATCCTTACAGAAACCTCACTTTCCCATAAATTGCTAGCTGCAAAACTCCTGATTGGTTTCAGTAAGTTTCTGACTCCTTGGGAGAAATGGACTGCTATTGGAGAAAATCTCTTGATTCAAACCATTTCACTTAAGAAAATCAGAGAATCTATGGAAACTAGCTAATTCAATTATACTTTTAATTAATTTTTTAAATTAATTAAGTATTGTTATATTACTTCATTCAACAACTATCTGCTAAAACCTAATGTGTGCCAAATATAGTTGCTAAGCCCCGGCCTTCATGGGGCTTTCTCATGAGGGAGACAAGACACTAAACAAGTAAACATGCATCTATTATTACAACTTATAATTATTCGAAGGAAAAGTAAATCATTGTGTTATAATAAGAGACAAGAGAAGGACTTATTCTGGATTGACGGAAAAAGAAAAGCAATACTCAACCTGAGCTATCAAAAAGATAAACAAAAACCAAAAATAAACAAAAAAGCCAAATAAATAAATAAATAATCAAAAAGATAAAGAGGGAGCGGGACTGAGAAAAAGTATACCAGGCAGAGGGTCCCCTGGACCTTGGAAGGTTACAGAAACCACCTGCCAGGGGCGCCTGGGTGGCTCAGTGGGTTAAGCTGCTGCCTTCAGCTCAGGTCATGATCTCAGGGTCCTGGGATCGAGCCCCGCATTGGGCTCTCTGCTCAGCGAGGAGCCTGCTTCCTCCTCTCTCTCTGCCTGCCTCTCTGCCTGCTTGTGATTTCTGTCTGTCAAACAAATAAATAAAATCTTAAAAAAAAAAAAAAAAAAAAAAAAGAAACCACCTGCCAGTGGAAAATGTGTGTGTATGGGAGGTGGGAGTAGCAGCTCGAGAGTAAGTGAGGTTATACAGGGTCATACAGGTGCTAGCTAGGAATGTGGATGTCCTCTTAGCACAACATAAAGTCAATGAAGAGTTTTATAGAGGGAAATGAGTTTTATCCAATTAAAATATTTTTAAAGACTTTATTTATTTACTTGTCAGAGAGAGAGAGAGAGAGAGAGAGGCAGAGACAGAGGGAGTTCACACACAAGCAGGTGGAACGGCAGGCAGAGGAGAAACAGGCTCCTCTCTGAGCAGGGAGCCCGATGTGGGACTCAGTCCCAGGACCCTGGGATCATGACCTGAGCCAAAGGCAGAGGCTTAACTGACTGAGCCACCCCAGCATCACAGATCCAATTAATATTTTAGGATCACTCTGGCTGCTGATTGGAAAACAGAATGGAGGGGGCACAAGAGTGGAAGCCAAAGGCTACTGGTTAACCTGGACCAGAGATGAAAGCCTACAGACTAAGCAACGGAGATGGTGAAAAGTAACTGCACATAAAATACGCTCAAGGTGAAGGTGACAGGACTGGCTGACGGACTGGATTTGGGGGTGAGGAAGAGGTCCAGATTTCTGGACTAAGCAACTGGAAGAATGACAAGAGAAAAGGGCTAGAAACATACTTTTGGGAGTTATCAGCGTATAGATGGGTAAAACGACCAAGGGAGAGTGTGGAGAAAAAGGGTCCCAGCACTGAGCTCTAAGACACCTCCACATTTAGAAGCCAAGCAAGGGAGGAAGGGCAAACCAGGAAAGGAGACTGAGAAGTAATCCTTGACGTAGGGGGGAATGCAAACAGCATGTCACAAAGGAATTTCTAGAGGTTTCTTGTTAAGTATAGTTGACACCCAGAGTTTCTGCATCCCCTGCTGCTAAAAGATCAAGAAGGCTGAGGGCAGAAAATCAGCCTTGGAATTTGACAAGACGGAGGGCTCAGATAATCAACACAAAACCCGTTTCTGTAGACTGGTAAGGATGAAAGCCCAGCAGAATGATTGAGAATGAGGGGATCAAGGACACTTCCAAACAGTTTTGTTGTAAAGTGAAGCAAAAATGGAGCCATAAGTGGACATGAATGTGCGGACAAAGGATTTTTTAAGATGGATAAATTAAAGTGGGATTGCATAATGAGAGGAACTGCTCTAGTAAAAAAAGAAAAATTGGTTAATAATAGCTTGGGCCAGAGTGATCTATCTGAATGTTTTCCAAGATGCAAACTACACCCCATTAAAGGACCACAAAATCTACTCAGTGGGCCAGCACTCTTCCTTAACGAAAGAGACAACATCAGAGCGTGCCACGTAGAGGAAAAGTACTGCTTCATGGCGTTTTCATTTCAGTTACATATACACACTGTGTTTTTCTGAAATCGGCAAAACAGCATTGTTTAAGACCGTTAAACAGGTGAAAGAACACAAAGGGAAACGGTAAACAACCCACGCCGGAGAGAGCACCGTACGATCACGCCTGCGGGTTAACGCGGGCCGCGGGAAGACCCACCGGCGGAGCAGCTGCGGGGACTTCCACCTGCCGAACAGCAAGCAAGCAGCACACGCGCCTTCTGCTCCCGCGCTCTCGGTCCAGGCTCAAGCACTTCCTTCTCCCCAGAAGACCTGCCCAGCCCACTCGGGGAGCAGCTCCTCGGGAGTCAGGGCTCCCCGCGGCCAGCCAAGCCCTAGCCCAGCACTTGGCCATCTCTTCGGCAGGTACTGCTAGGGAGGACGCGGGGCTGTACAGCTTCTAAGTCCCCGCTGGGACCGGGGCCGAGCTCCCCGCGGTGACCCACAACACACCAGGAAATGAATGACGGCGCGAGCAGGCACAGGAAAGGCCGCAGGTCAAGTGGCGCTGGGCGGGAGCACGGACGAAGGCTCCGAGGGGCGGAGCGAGGGCCCCTTTCCTCCCCGTGTCCCGCCCCAAGCCTTTCCGCAGGGCTCCGTACACCGTGCCGCCCTATGCCCGCGTCCCTCGGCTGCCCTCGGCCCAGCAGGCTGCCGCTGCGGGCGTCTGCACACGGCCGGGAACGCGCCCCCGGCGACTTACACTTCCATGCCGATCCCGCGTCGTCGCTTGCGGACGCACAGCCTCCTGCCGAGCCGCCTCCGCTGCCGCCGTCCGCGTCGCTCACCCAGCCCCGGGGTCTGCGCGCCGCGCTGCACGCCGAGATCGTCGCGGGGTAAGTCGGGACCGCCGCGCTGCACGCCGGGATCGTCGCGGGGTATGTCGGGACAGCCGCGAGGCACGCCGGGATCCTGGCGGACCGGCGGGTACTTCCGCGTGGTTAGCGGCTGGGCGCGGCGCCCCGGCTGGGTTTAGGGCAGTTGAACTCACGCAGGCGGACCGCGCTCGTGCTTGCGCGGTCGGCGTGACGTCAGAGTACTAACCCGCTAGTTTCCAGAGGGACGGTCGGGTTACCGGCCTCCGCGGCGTTAGGGTCGCACGGTCGGGGGTGGTGACGGCGGGGGCGAGGCGGCCCGTCCCCCGACTTCGGTGTCGGGCGCGCAGCGGGCCCCGTTTCTCAGACCCGGTGACGTGGTTACGCGCGCTCCGCTTCGCACGTGCGTCATCCTCGGAGGACGCGTCCCGAGACGAGGGAGAAGCGAGGCTGTCCCCGTCCCTGTTCCCGGGAGCTCGGCGGCGCGCGGACCCAACCTACCCGCGTCCCCGGGGTTTGCCGGAGGGAGGACCGGACGCGTGGAGCAGGGCGTGCGGCGTGTGTTTTGGGGGGAGGATCCTGCGGCCGCGCGGGGGACACGCGCCGGCCGGGCTGCCGCTGGGGCTGCTGTTGCGGGGCTGACGCGTGCGGCGGGCGGGAGGGGGAGCCGCCCGGTCCGGCCCGCTGTGAGGTGGCGGTCGGGGACGGCGGGTGCCCGTCCCCTTCGCAGGTGTGCGGCGCGTCTGAACGTACTTCCCTGAAGACTTTACCAGTTTGTCTGCAGGGAAGCGACGGGCGGGGGAGAAGCTGGGCCTGCCCGGGCGCGGTCCCCGGAGCCCAGCGGAGGGCGGGCGCTGGAGCCGCGGAGCCACGCGGCGCCCCCGCGGAGGATTCACGGACGGGAAGCAGATGCCGAGACGTGGGCGGTACCAGTGTCTGGACGACAAGTCAGTGTCGTTCTCCTCTCGCGGCTGTGTCGGTTACGTTTGCTGGGCGCTTGCTGAGGGCGGCGTGACCGCGGCTTGACAGTCCAGCGGCGCGGGCTGCCGGCGGTGCCCGGGAGCGGCTGCGTTCACCTGCGGCACTTCTCGGAGTGCTGACCGTGGGACGCGACCTGACCTCTCCTGACCGCAGCTCCCCGGTAAACCGCGAGTCCGCCCTGCAGCCTTCGTGACGAGCCGGCGCGCGGTGATGCTCCGCAGACGTTACCGACCGTGGCGGCGCAGCGAGGACGCTCGGGCGGATCCTGTTGTTCCTCGGATCGTTCTGCTGAGGGAACCGGGCCGGACGTGCCGTGGTTACGATTGACCCGCGGCCGGTCATCCTGGGACTTGCCCAGGAGGGGTTCACACTCGGGCAGCTTGAGCAAGCATTGGGATGGATTACATTGTTAACCGTGACTGATGATGGGTTAGAAAAACGTGTCGTAGGAATGGGACACTGACCGAACGTGGATGACCCTCAGACACATGCCAAGTGAAAGAAGCCAGACACGGAGGACCACATCCCATATGGCTCCATTCTGTGAAACCTCCCGACACGGAGGACCACATCCCATATGACTCCATTCCGTGAAGCATCCCGACACGGAAGGCCACATCCCATATGACTCCATTCTATGAAACATCCAGGACAGGCAAGTCTACACAGACAGGGGTGAATTAGTGGTTGCTTAGGGGTGGGAGAGGGACAGGGAGGTCAGCTGATGGACACAGAATTTATTTGGGGGCATATAAAAATGTTCTAAAATTAGATTGTAATGGTTGCCCATCCCTGGAAAATACTAAAAAATGCTGAATTATATATCTTAAATGAGAAAACTGTATATGGTCTCTGAATTATGTATCAATGAAACTGTTATTTTTAACTGGTGTCTGTGGGGATTAGATTGGAAGAGAAATGACATAAATTTTTAGCATTTAACTTTGCACATTCAGAATTTTAAAAATGTTTTTCAATGCACATGTTATTTTTAATTACAAAAAATATTTTAAAGACAACAAATTTGGGGATGCCTGGGTAGCTCAGTGGGTTAAGCATCTGCCTTTTGCTCAGGTCTTGTTACCAGGGCCCTGGGATTGAGTCCCACACTGTGCTCCTTGCTCAGTGGGGAGCCTGCTTCTCCCTCTGCCTGCTGGCCCACTCTCTTTCACACGCAAATAAATAAAGTCTTAAAAAGAAAAAAAAAAGAAACTAATTTGGGGCATCTGGGTGACTCAGTTGGTTGAATATTGACTCTTGCTTTTGGCTCAGGTCATGATCTCAGGGTCATGAGCTCAAGCCCTGCATCCGGTTCTGTGCTCAGCATGGAGTCTGCTTGAGATTCTTCCCGCCTCAGGCATGCATGTGTGCGTGCTCTCGCTCTCTCTCTAAAATTAACAGTCTTTTTTAAAAACCCAAACAACTGGGCGCCTGGGTGGCTTAGTTGGTTACATGACTGCCTTCAGCTCAGGTCATGATCCTGGAGTCCTGGAATCAAGTCCCACAGCGGGCTTCCTGCTCTGCAGGGAGTCTGCTTCTCCCTCTGACCTCTCTCCTCTCATGCTGGCTCGTGCGCACGCGTGCACGTTCTCTCTCTCTCTCTCTCATCCTTTCTATCAAATAAATAAAGTCTTACAAAAAATAAAAACCTGAGCAACTAATTTACTTTTAAAAATCTGCAAATAAATAAAATGCTACCCTGGACCCAGCTGGCCTAATTTGTGTAGAGGGTCTCCATCCCTCCTTTGAGGACAGCAGACCCCACAAAAAAAGCACTAAAGATGTTCATTGTGTTAGTCACTCAGCAAACATGTAGTGATGGCCCATTTGGTGGTGATGGCATGCATGTGAGTAATATGCACGTCCTACCTGGCGGCTTCGTTGGAGAACCAGCTCTGGACGTCAACAGCTGCTGCACACGGTGTTTAGACGCAGCGAAGCAGAGGCGAGAATGACTAATGAGGTGGAGAGGCGTCCCAAAGCCAGGGCTGTTTGAGCTGGTTGGGGGGAGGAGCGCCCAAGGCCAAGGTTTCTGGGATGGGCTTCCACAGAAGAGAACCTAGTGCCTGTCTGGGGGCCCATGAAAAAGTAGCTAAGCTCCAGGTTCTCCAAAGGAGGCTACCCTTAGACTGGGGGCCATATGCAGTCATCCTGCCCATCCCCTAAGGGTAGCCAAATAGTCAGGAGTGAGGCCCTTTCTCCCAAGGGAAGGCTCCTCAAAAGGACCCTGTGTAATGAGATAATCCAGCCAACAGAACTAGGCTAATCAATAGCTGAAACTCCTGCCTGACCTGCCCCTACTTAGGGCCTCCCTACAGCTTTCCTAACTTGAGACTGCATAAGGAGTCTTTGTTCTTTGCCACCCAAAGCATACAAACCTAGAGGATTGTTTGCCCTGCCCCAATATCTGTTTTCTTTTAACGCAGAGCTTATCTACTATGTACAAAGGCCCAGAGCAGGAGCAAACTGTATACGTCTTCCATGTAGAAATGTCCTTTTGAACACAGAGCTATTAGGTCTAGAGCTCAGAAGAACACTGGCAAAAACTTTCGAAGGTGTAAGTATAAACTGAAGCCTTTGAAGTGGTTAAGTCACCCAGGGAGAATCTAGAATATTTAGACTTACTTGGTGCTTACCACGTGCCAGGCAGTTGATCTCAGCTCTTCACAGGGGTGTGCTTATCACATTGTCCCAAGATTCCAATGAGGACGTATCCAGGCACTGCGTTAGCATGGTCTCACATACTGCTCTCAGAGTTTGCAGACGTAAGCACCACGATTAGCCCATTTCGCAGCAAAGTGAAGCTCAGAGAGGAGTTAACAAAGTATGAGAGCCAGGATGCTCTCTCTTCTCTGGCCAACTCCCAACATGCACATGCACCAGCATTAACCCAACCTTTCCTTTCAGTTCCAGGGCCTGCCAACATCAGGGATGCCTCCCTGTTCTGCACTAGACCCTTGTGAAGCACCAAAGTAGAAAATGTAGGGGAAACAAGCCAGGCGAGGCTTTCATTCTTCTGAAGAAGCTAAATCCTGTGCAGCACTCAGGGCTCTGCTGAAATGGCTGCTGTCCATTGTCTGAAAATCCTGGACCCTTGAGCTGGCAATGGGGATGGACACACAAGGTTTGCCTCTGGTCGAGGCCCTGAGGGAAACGTCAGCAAAGTCAAGTAAGGCTGTGATCTCATTATTAGCATCCCAGGAGCAGGAATTGTAAACCCTTGGTGACCTCCAGTCATGGGCTGTGTTCCTGGGCACCCACAGGAATGAGGCTGTCAAGTGCGGTGGGTTGCAGATATGGGTTCTGTGGCCAGAGAGACTGGGTTAAATCCAGCACCCACCTTACTGAGTCGGTGTGTTTCAAGTGGCAAGCATGAAGAAAAACATGAACTATTATCTTCCCATACATCCAAAGCAAGGAAACAAGATTTTGGATGAAGAAAGTGTTAAGAATATGGTGACAGATGGATGTCATCTAGTTCTCCTCGTTGCAGGTACAAAGTCCATCTTCTTGGAAAAATCACGAAGCCTTTCATTACCCACCTTACCTAGGGACAGTTGACATGAGTTGAGCGAAAGGCTTCTAGTGAGTAACAGAATGTTACATGACAGAGCAGGACTTGGAGCGTGGAGTGGGAGTAAGTGGTCAGCCCCATTCAGGGGCATTTTCATGGAGTCTCTCCATATGGGAGGCAGAAAGACATCCCCAAAGATGTCCACACCAAAATTCTCCAGAACCCATGGATATGTTGCTATATATGTCCAAAGGGACTTTCCAGATGTGACTAAGGTTATGGACCTTATGATGGCAAGATTACCCTGAATCATTTTAAAGGGCCCAATGTAAGCACATGGGACCTTCAAAGAGCAGAATCTTTCCCACCCGAGTTAGAGGGAGATGGAACTGTGGAGGAAGAGTCAGACAGATGCAACTTTCCTGGTTTTGAAGGTGGAGGA